GAGCCCGAAGCTTAAGACCCCCGGAATCACCCAGCGGCCTGGAGCATGTAAGAGACATCAAGTCGGAAGCATCCGTCCAGCCTCGGTACGGCGCTAGCTTAGCAAGCCGGAGCCTGGTATCTTTTGGAGGATGGGCTCATCAGCTTCCTCATGGGGGTTCGTTTAGGCATATCCAAACCCTGACAACCCTAAACCCTACACCCTAAACCCTGAAAACCCCAAACCCTAAACCGCGGCTCTGACAAGCCTGACATCGGCATGCGGGCTCCATGCGTGAGGGTGTTGATTCTAGGTTGGAGTTGTTTTTGTGGCACCCAGGGGTTGTTTAGGTTTAGGGTTTATAGGGTTTAGGGTTTATAGGGTTTAGGGTTTTTAGGGTTTTTAGGGTTTGTAGGGCTTATAGGGTTTGTTGGGTTTATAGGGTTTATAGGGTTTATAGGGTTTATAGGGTCTATAGGCTTTGTAGGATGTATAGGGTTTATAGGGTTTATAGGGTTTATAGGGTTTATAGGGTTTATGGGGTTTATAGGGTTTATAGGGTTTATAGGGTTTATAGGGCTTATAGGGTTTAGGGTTTGTCCGCCTCGCAACCTGAACCCTAAGCCCGCAACCCTTGCATGTGAAGCACAACCTAAACCCCAAACCCTAAACCCTAAACCCTAAACCATGTTGGGCAGGTGATTGAATCTGCTCTTACGGCCCCGGCTTGGTTCCTATAGGCACGAATAGAGGAGGTATAAAACAGAAAGCCCAAAGAGGAAGTACCTTTTTAGTCGGCTGGGTTGAGCCTTCCACGGGGATGTTTAGGGTTTAGGGTTTAGGGTTTAGGGTATAGGGTTTAGGGTTTAGGGTTTAGGGTTTAGGGTTTAGGGTTTAGGGTTTAGGGTTTAGGGCTCATGGACTTCGTGAGGCATGTTGGGCTTACGGATTGGGGATTTGGGGCTTCGCTCTTTGGTTGGGGTTTCGGAGTTAGGGTTTCGGGACCATGTATGGCAAGATGGGGGTTTACGAAACGTGCGGGGACCACCAAATAGACACCAAATCATAGGATTCCTTTAGGGCCCAAGTAAGGCACCCTAAGGCTTAGGGGCTCCGGAGGCTGGGGGGATGATCTTAGGGTTTAGGGTTTAGGGTTTAGGGCTTAGGGTTTAGGGTCTAGGGTTGAGGGTTCCACATTGCACCGACCATGGCGAAGTGCGGAATCGAAGACATGTAGAGATAGGTTGGCCCTCTAAACCTTGGTAGCCCAGAAACCATGTTGCAATAAGGGCACCCTTTTTGGGGGGGTCTAGGGTCTAAGCTTTAGGGTTTAGGACACCCTTGTTGGGTTTTTTTGGGTCTAAGCTTTAGGGTTAGGGTTACTGTATAAGGGTGCCCAGAACAAAAAGAAGGAAAGAAGGAAAAGGGGCACCACTTGGCTACCAAGAAAGACTGCGCAGAATGATCCTAGTGTACTCCGCTTAAATCCAGTAATAGGGAATATGCGAATGGCCGACCTAGATCCGCATCTGCCATGACTACAGATGGGTTGGGTTGAGGGTCTAGGGTTTAGGGTTTAGGGTTCAGGGTTTAGGGTTCAGGGTTTAGGGGTCTACGTTGCAGCAGGCGCTCTTTTTGTGTCGCTTCATCATCATGTGCCAAATTCGTGGATTCCGTATTCGAGGAAGTATTTTCCAAGATCTGCAGGGTAGCATCTGCGCTCAGGGAGCCAGTATGGCCTTTTGCTTGTTTCGACCTGATCCTAGCTACACCCAGAGTCACTCCACACAGAAACGGCAATTCGTTGTGGAGAAACTTTCGTAGAGACCCTGGAGGGTTGCAGAGGGTCGTGGTGGTGGTGGTGCTGGCAGTGGGTGGCGGCGGTGGCGGTCGGGGTGGTGGTGGTGGTGGTGGTGGTGGTGGTGGTGGTGGTGGTGGTGGTGGTGGTGGTGGTGGTGGTGGTGGTGGTGGTGGTGGTGGTGGTGGTGGTGGGGGCGGCGGTGGTGGTGGTGGTGGTGAAAATGGAAGCAGGGAGATTGCACGAAGCACAAGCCCAAGGCGGAGTATGTCCAGAAAGAGACAGAAAGTGCAAGTTAGCAGAGGCAGGGAGGGAGACCAAGAGAGCAAGCAAGTGAAGGCGAATGCCGCTGCCCCGGTACTATCAGAAATGCTCGACAGGGCAGCTTCCTTGAAATCATGGTCCTGTTTTGAACCCTAAACCCTAAACCCTAAACCCTTAAACCCTAAACCCTTAACCCTAAACCCTAAACCCTAGAGTCCAAAAACCCTGTAAGTCATAAACTCTACGTGGTGTCGCAGCTGCCCCGGCTCTATCAGAAATGCCCGACATGGCAGCTTCCCTAAATCATCCCTTTTTCTACCCTAAACCCTAAACCCTAATCCTAAACCCTAAACCCTAAACCCTAAACCCTAAACCCTAAACCCAAAACCCCAAACCCTAAACCCTAAACCCTAAACCGTAACTAAACCTTCGGGTTGCAAAGGGACCATACCGTAGAGAATTGCTCATAGGGACTCCCGAGCGCAAGGCTGCGGCTGAGCCCACTCTGTTTTTCTTTTAGGAAGAATAGTAGGGTTTAGGGTTTAGGGTTTGTAGGGTTTAGGGTTTGTAGGGTTTAGGGTTAGGGTTTAGGGTTTAGGGTTTAGGTTTAGGGTTTAGGGTTTAGGGTTTAGGGTTTAGGGTTTAGGGTTTAGGGTTTAGGGTTTAGGGTTTAGGGTTTAGGGTTTAGGGTTTAGGGTTTAGGGTTTAGGGTTTAGAGAGGTAAAGCATCCCAGCAGCTATGGGAGTAACCACTCTTAGAATAGGGGCACCCCTTTTTTGTTTTGGTTTCTTCATAATGAAACCTTGAACCCCAAAAAAGAGGGTACAGGGGTACCACTGGGCCACCAAGCCTGCATGCCTTCTACACCCAATCAGCCCTGCGACGGACGCCCTCTAGACATCTCTAGACCCTGCAAGATAGGGGTCGGAATAATCACTAATGGTATTCCCTTAGGGCCCCTGAATAATTAGACTATAATACCCTAAACCCTAAACCCGAAACCCTAAACCCCAAACCCTAACAACCAAAACCCTATTCAAACTATTGAGGCCCCTATAGAATTCGCCCCACATGGACACACGCGTTGACGGGGCGGTTTAGGCTTCAGGCTCAAGGCTCCTGGTGGGATTTAGGGTTTAGGGTTTAGGGTTTCGGGGTTTAGGGTTTAGGGTTTAGGGGGACTCACCCAGCAGGCTTTCTTCAAGGAACGGCACCTTTTTGCCGCGGCCTCTGGCCGTTTGGCATGTCGGTCTGCCGTGCAAAAAGGGCTGGATTCGGAGGCTCGCGGGCCGTGCATTGTAGATCCCGAAGCGCGAAGACAAGAACAAAGGGTTCAGGGTTCAGGGTTCAGGGTTCAGGGTTCAGGGTTTTGGGTTTAGGGTTTAGGGTTTAGGGTTTAGGGTTTAGGGTTTAGGGTTTAGGGTTTAGGGTTTAGAACCCAGGACCCTAAACCCCAAGACCAGATCCCAAAAACCCTAAGACCCCTAACAGCCTAACACCCTAAACCCTCAACCCTAAGACCAAACCCGGAAAGCCTAGGACCAGAACCCAAAAACCCGAAAACCCTAAACCCAAGCCCCAAGACCAAAACCCGAGACCCTAAAGCACTAAACCCTCAACCCTAAGACCAAAACCCGAAACACGAAAACCAGGTCTAAGCCCTAACGCCCTAGACCTGAGCCCTAAAAACTGAAACCCTAAACACTACCATCAGATAGCACACGAGCTTCAGCAGCTTCCAGGTTCACATCTTTTGAAGTGAGGTTGGGCCCTACGCTCTCTTGCGGGTTAGGGTTTAGGGTTAAGGGTTTCGGGTTTGGGGTTTAGGGTTAGGGTTTGGGGCTATTCACCCTAAACATTCCGAACAGCCCCCCACACCGAAACACTAAATTGCAAGAATCCCATCCCCAACCGTTTGCTTTGTGGCCCTCCGTACCCAAATTAGGGAAACCCAAAACCTAACACCTGAAACCCTAAGCTTTTCAACCCTAAACCCTAAACCCTAAACCCTAAACCCTAAACCCTATCCCCTAGCCCTAAACCCTAAACCCCAAACCGAAAACCCTACACCTCAATGCCGGCCTCCTCTCAGTCCATCCTCCCGACTCCCGGACGCACGCCGTGGGCCGTCACTGGCCGACGGGGGGCCTGGTTGGACAGGGTTTAGGGTTTAGGGTTTAGGGTTTAGGGTTTAGGGTTTAGGGTTTAGGGTTTAGGGTTTAGGGTTTAGGGTTTAGGGTTTAGGGTTTAGGGTATTAGGGTTTAGGGTTTAGGGTTTAGGGTTTAGGGTTTAGGGTTTAGGGTTTAGGGTTTAGGGTTTAGGGTTTAGGGTTTAGGGTTTAGGGGGCAGGTTGGGGGTTTAGGGTTTAGGGTTTAGGGTTTAGGGTTTAGGGTTTAGGGTTTACCCTAAACCCTAAACCCTAAACCCTAAACCCTAAACCCTAAACCCTAAACCCTAAACCCTAAACCCTAAACCCCAAACCCCAAACCCTAAACCTAAACCCTGCTCTCCACAGTCAAGGCCATAGTCCTGCCTTGCGAACCACCCAAAACCTATGTGAGAAAGTTCTCCTAACTCGGGCCCCTTTGAAAATTACTATTCTAAGGCGGTACCCAAAAAAGGGACCATCATTTTGAGAACTGGCCATATACTTCGTTGTAGATTGCAATGCCCTAAACCCTAAACCCTAAACCCTAAACCCTAAACCCTAAACCCTAAACCCTAAACCCTAAACCCTAAACCCTAAACCCTGAACCCTGAACCCTGAACCCTAAACCCTAAACCCTAACCCTAAACCCTAAACCCTATAAAAAAGGGTTCGGGAAGTCGGGATTTGGGGCTTGGCGCTTGGGAGCCCTTGACTTCCAGCACCACCGTAGCTAGGGTTAGGGTTTAGAGCTCAGTCGGCTTAGAGTTTAGGGCCTAGGGTTCAGGGTTTAGGGTTTAGGGTTTCGGGTTTAGAGTTCAGGGCTTAGGATTTTAGGGTTCCTGAGCCCTCCAGCCCTCAACCCTAAACCCTCAGCCCTAAACCCTGAACACTGGCGAACTTTTCGCAGGGGCGCCTTATCGGCGTCGCGGCAGGATCGGAGCGACTGAAGCACTTCCGGCATAGTTGGGCGCACCTGTTTAGGCTTTAGGGTTTAGGGTTTAGGGTTTAGGGTTTAGGTGTTAGGACGGAAGTAAGTAGGTACCCCCCATACCCTGAAGGGGTTGTATAGGGTGCCAAATTATCTAATTCCCTACTTAGGGTTTTCGCGGGGACAACCCCAAACCCTTCCGTCCTCTTTGCACTTGTTCAATTCTCTTGAAAAGGCAAGAAGGATACTGCTGGGCTACTGTTGAAATTTCAGGCTCGTGAGGTTTTGGGTTCTGGGGCTTGGGGATTAGGGCCCCAGGGCTGAGTTGGTAATTCCCTAAACCCTAAACCCTAAACCCTAAACCCTAAACCCTAAACCCTAAACCCATATGTGGGGGACTCAAGGAGGGACCCTTATAAGGGATCTTAGGGCCATGTATGGGGGTTCTATAATCCTGAATCCGCATTCCCTGAGTCCCCTTTGTAGTCTCTACAACCGGTCTCTTCCTCATAGTCTGGGCTATCAAACAAAGCGCCCATGACTTAGCTCAACCCTTCCATTCTGAATTGTACGGTCACTTCACGTAACTTCCGCCTCGACCCTAAACCCTAAACTCTACCAATCCTTTTGGCCTTGTACAACCCTAAACCCTGAACTCTGAACCCCAAACCCTAAACCCTAGACCCGAAACCCGAAACGCTAAACCCTAAACCCTGAACCCTAAACCCTAAACCCTGAACCCTCAACCCTGAACCCGAAACCCTAAACCCTAAACCGTAACCCTAAACCCGAAACCCTAAACCCTAAACCCTAAACCCCTAGAAGGCCTTGTAGTCCAGGGTCCAGCAGCTGCGGATCAGCTGCTGGACTTCGCGAGGTGCAAGGGAGGGCATCTCCAGCATCTGCCCTCGGCGTGTGGGGGGCTTAAGGGGGTTTAGGGTTTAGGGTTTAGGGTTTAGGGTTTAGGGTTTAGGGTTTAGGGTTTAGGGTTTAGGGTTTAGGGTTTAGGGTTTAGGGTTCCTTGCTAGCCCAGTAAGCCATGTGATAATCTGGGCACCCTCTTTGGGGTTTTGAAAAGGATGCCCAGAACCAACATAAAGGATAACGGCTACCACTGGGCTAGCAAGGTTTACAGGGCTTGCAGGATTCTTGGGGTCCATAGGGTGTAAGGGTTTATAGGGTTTTAGGGCTTAGGGTTTAAGGGTTTAAGGTTTAAGGTTTAAGGGTTTATAGGGTTTTAGGGTTTAGGGTCTAAGGGTTTAGAGGTCTGGTGGTGTATCGGGTGTAGGGTGCAGGGCCGAACTTACGGGGGCATTTGTGGGGCGTAGGATTGGTAGGGCAGGGGTGGAGGTTTCCCAGGTTTGTGTGGTCTGTGTGTTTTAGGGTTTGTAGGGTCTAGGGCTTAAAACTTCGGGTTTAGGGCTCATGGGGCTTAGGGTGCAGTTGCAGGGTTCTTGAGGGCTTCTTCGAGTTTGACTAAGTTTGAAGGTTGGGCTTCAAATCTATAGGCTTTAGGGTTTGGGGTTTGTGGGGGGGGGGGGGGGGGAGGCACAGGTTGTCGAAGGTGCAACTTTGTGTTGTCTAGCCAGTGGAACACACAAGAAGAGTAACTTGGAAAAGGGATGGGGTGTTGCGTCTGACTGGGGGCCGCATGGTACATGGGGGTGGGAACTCTGAAAACCCTTCCTCCGGGGACTCCCTACTTCTAAGCTGCTTACCATGTCCTGTTGTTCTTCTGTTGTATTAGCTTGCTGTTTGTTTGGGGCGGAAGTTCTTCACCTTTACTAGACCCAAGAGTAACCTAGGAATAACAAGGGTGTTTTTTTGCTTTAAAGGGCATATACGGGAACCTAAACACTAAACAAAGAGAATAAGGGCCTATCCGGGTCCTAGTTTAACTCTGCCAATACTGGGGCGAAGGGGTGGCAACCCGCGTCTGGCCTTCAATAACGCGTTCGCGAATGTCAGCGGGATCCAGATTTGCCTCAAGGGCTTAGGTTTAGGGATTCGGTTTGAAGGTTCATTGGTAGCTATAACTAGTAGTATAATTTGCCTAAACCTATGACCAGGTATAACCATAGTTAGCTTCCTTATCACACCCATGAACCTGCCAGTCGTCCCAGCCTCTTCCTGAAACAAGCATGCTAGGGTCTGCTTTATAAAGGCCGGTGGTGGCCTCTGTATCTGTTGCACTTACACCTTCATATAGCCCCCATATACCCTACTAAGAGCCCCGGATAGATGCCCTCTAACACAGAAAACCCTACTGAGTTACTTAAAGAGACCACCAACCCATATAGGGTCTGCTTGTAGTTCGTTTTGTGTCCCAGAGCCTGACCATGACCTTGAATGTTTACCCGGCTTAATCCTAGGCTGCCCA